AGTTACAACTTTCTCAACTGCAATTTATAAACATTGTAGTTACTTGCATGTGTGGGGACAGGAGGAGGTGAACTGAAGGACAGACTAAGATTTAAATCTAAACCTCAAATTCCACTGCAAACCTAAACCAGATGTAACCAATTCATCCTCCTGGCATGGCGATCCGTAAATGCCAAATCCCAATAAAACCTGAATAGCAAATGAGGGTTATAATGTGTAGTAAAATCCCAGTAGCTGGAGGCAATACATTTTGTTTCCCATCCTGAGAAGGATCAGAAGAGTTTGTAAGAATGGCTATCTAATGTTGATTTTCCTAGATGCTATCAAATCGATTTTCAGCTGAGCTCAGCACATTCACAAACTCATGGAACTGAAAAGGAATGGCCGGTGCTTGTCCTCAATGCACCACCATGGTTTATTGAGGTAGGGTGTATTTTCATGTCGTTTGGAAAGGTTTAAGCAGGGAAGTTGATGCCACCTCTCAGAACTCACCGACCTAATGATGGTTCTCACAGGAGCTGACATTTGCTGTCCACAGTGTAACAGCTGAACAGCTCCAACAAAAGGAAACATGCTTGTGTTTCCTCTCCTTTCTTGGCTGATCAAACAGATAAACCTCTGGTGGACCCCTTGAAAAATGCTACTCTTTGTGCCTCTCTGATATGAGGTCTTTATAATTTTTCGTCTGGATTTATGGAAACTATGATATAGTATTATTTTTAGTGCATATTTAAAATAAATTTTATAATTTCAGTATCAAGTTATCTAATTTTTTTTTTCTCAACTGCTTCCTGGTTTTCTCTTAGATGGTACTATAGGTACCCCATTAATATAGTACCAATATAGAAAACACAACTTGATTCAAAGATGTTGCCAATTTTCTAATTTTTTACCACCTTCAAGTGGTAATCATTGTCAGCTCAGACAGGGGGAACTTTATTTCCCTCTTCTCCCACAATCTTCTTCAACAATATTTTGCCCGTGTGGTCCTTTTCCATCACTTTTTGCATCATCTTCCCACCACTATTAAACATATTAAGACTATTCTCAGAACTTCTTATTGCCTCATGCTGCCCATATAATTATCACTTTATCAATACTCACCATCTTTGAACTTTTAATTTCAAATAAAATGTATCTTATCTTTCTAATAATTTGTCAGACAAACCTACTTTCACAATTACTGCCTTAAAGGAGAGCTGCTACTCTATGTGTAATCAACAAGTCTTTTCTAATCACTTCTTCTTCTCTTCTCTTCTCTTCTCTTCTCTTCTCTTCTCTTCTCTTCTCTTCTCTTCTCTTCTCTTCTCTTCTCTTCCTCTTCTCTTCTCTCTCTCTTCTCTTCTCCTCTTTCTCTTCTCTTCTCCTCGCTTTTTAACTTTATTGCAGACATTGAAACTTTTGGATAACACTGTCAGCGCTACAGTAACTGCCACACCTATTTGGGTTCATTTTTTGACACGTTGTAATGCTAATGGATCTGTCTGTGCTGGTATTTTCTTCTCTAATTCAAGAATATATTCATAAAGGAATTATAATTGGATTTGTTCCTTCACTCTAGTTTGACAACTGCTTTGCCCCTTTTACCTTTAACAACTAATTAAAATCCACATATATATACATACACACATATTGATTTTATTTATATAAATATGTATATGCACATATATATATATATATAAATTCTAAGTGATTATAGCCTTCAATTACCCTGCTAGAGCTCATAAAAAACCCCATAGGTATTCATTAAGTGAAATTGTGAAATTAAGTATGTTGGGGTTTTTGTGGGTTTTTTTTTGGTTTTGTTTTTTTTTTTAAGCATAATAGAATGAAGACAGCAGTCAAAAGATTAACTTGCAATGTTGTTACTGTTGATGGAAAATTCTATGGAAAGTTTTGCTTAGACAGACAAAGGTGTAAAATCAAAACTTTCACATGCATTTTAGACACCAGTAATATCTAAGTGTGAGAGAGATATTAATCCCCTTAATAACTGGATATTTAGCAAAAGGAGGATATTGAGATAAAAGGTTAAATACTTAAATTTACTGGGTTTTATCATGAAACTTTTAGAAATAGGGGAAAGAAATGTAAAATATACTGTAGAAATTTTGTCACTAAGGGAGAACTGAAAAGCCACATGATCATACAGACCTTTTCCACCTGTATTGACTAAAGATAGTACTCTAAAAATTCTTAGTCAATAGATGTTTTTCAATAAAGTGGCTTTAAAAACGTTTCATTATAGGTGCTTAGAAACTGTTGGAGTTTTTCTTACTACTGCTTTTTACTGAACTAGATGCATAGGGCATGCAATAAGACACAGAGGCATTTCCATCCTAAGCAGATAACATTCTTGTAGTTCGGGCTCATCATTTTAGGTAATATATATTGTAAGAAAAAATCTAGAAGTAAAATCCCAATCAGGTTTTAGAGTTCAAGTTCATGATGTGCTTGCAGAAACAAGTTAAAACTAGCTATTCAACCTCTTCGACAAAAATGTATTTTATTAAAATATATGTCAAGATGACAAAAGCAGTCAAGACGATAATTTAATATTCAGCTAAATAATGATGTGCTAATGCAACAAGTAAAAAGGACCGTTCCTCCCCTGCATATCATGTTAATGTCTGCTGCCCAGCAGAAGACAGAAATTAACCTTGTATCTGTATAGTCTTTTCTGACTGTTCTCAGAAATACCTTATTTAACTTAAATTAGGTTATATTTCCTAGCTCCTTCTACAATAAAAAACTGCAACCCTCTTTACATAAGGTAATCCAAAAGGGAGTCTGCTTTTGAAATTAATGTTCCCGAAAATTTCAAGACATCCACAGATCAATAAACCTTTTTCTTTTCCAGTATTTAATGGGTAGTGAGACTGATAAGGTCTCATCAAATTGGGCCTCTCTCTTTTCAGTTTGATCTTTTTTTCTGAATTTCTTGAAATGGTCCATGGTAATTCCTTTGGAATACAGTGATTGATGCTGATGAGAGAAGAACACATTAATTTCAGGATGCCCTAACAGATAACATGACCAACAAGCTGTTCAAGCCAAGAAAGTTATTTTTGCTTTCCACTGGAATTCTAATGAAGAGGAAAATGACTTACTGACCATGCATGCCAAGAGTTCCAAAACAGCAGAGATCACTGAATTAATATGTTAGCCTGGTGGGACATTTTAACTGTTGTTTATATTTTTGTTTTCTTTTTTTACAGCAATAAAAGCAAAGAGATAAGTTCAGAGTAAATCGTAAGAGTGAAAACAGAGCTAGTTAACTGTTTTTTGTTTACTAGCCATTTTGTCCATCCTTCTTTTGAGATATAAGCATTTCTTTGCCACTGCCCGCAACTGATGTTATCGAAACTGTTCTAAAAATGCCCAAATGCAAGTGTTATTCTCAATTGCTGAATGTGGCAAACCACTTCATTTCTGTGACTTCAGGAGGCAAGAGTGAGACAAAAGTACCTAAAAATCTCAGCAACTGTAGAGCAGATGAAGAATTGAGAATCAAGGGTAAATAAAAACGTACCTAATTGTTGACCATGTTTTATTTATTCTAACTTACTTTATACATAACAATATAGTTCCTAGTAGTAGTAGCAGCAGCAGCAGCAGCAGTAGTAGTAGTATATTGTCGTTCATTTATTATGATTTGTGGACCTTCTCATGAAGAAAGCAGCAAAAAAAAAAAAAAATAGTAATACACCCTCCCTTGGGAGTTACACTCAGCACAATTCCATATTAATAAAGTTGGACCAGAGACAGGAGACTGAGAAATCTGCTGACTGGCTGAAGATGCAGTGTAAGGGAGGTGAAAGCACTTCTCTTCCTCAAATTTGTCCTCCTGAAGGCAAGTTTACAGCTCAGTCCTATACATATTTCTCTTATTCTACAAGGAAGTAATTTGTTCCTTTTGATAAATCAGATTTCTCTGTTTCCCCTTATTACAAGTTTCTTAAAAAGAAATACCCATTATGTAATAGTTGTGATACAGAACACATGTATACTTAATTAACTGGTCTAATGTACTAGACAGGTACTCTGTGATAAATAGCCCACCGCAAAAAAACTGTTGTTGTGCTATATCACAGAACAACTAATGGCATGACTGTAGCATGGGAACAGACTATGTTGCAAATGAATCTTTGCTCACTTTACAGTGTACAGAGCTTTACCCTGAATGTTTTTATTCATACTTTGTTTATGTCATTTTCTAAAATATATGCTGATCCTTTTGAGGAGGTGTGGCTGTTGTCCATTCTTACGATGGTCTCTAGCAACTAGAACCTCAGAATTTCAGCCTTTAACTTTGAGCTGCCTCTAGGTTTCCTGCTTCAAAAAAAAAAAAATATTGTGGAAAGAATAAATTTCTCAAGACATACAGCTCTATTCCTTCATCTCATGGATCCAATCACCTGCTATACATCTGTAGAGAAGAGCAGTAACTGTGCTCATTATGCATTTTGCAAGTAAACATCTCTAAGGAATCTTACTCCCTTTTTTAGGACATTGCAGTGCCTTCCAGTAACATGAGACTGCCAATGGATGAAATTGGAGACAGTGAGATGATTCAATCTGACCAAATTCTGCTACCAGCCTGCTCCATAACCTTGTGCAAATATTATTTTTTATGCCTTCACTTGGACAATAGAATTCATATATTTTTAGAATTTTAGAACACTGAAGGATACTGGCTAATTTTACAAAGCATAACAATCCCATTCCCCCTTTTAGATGCAATCTCAAGAAAACTTATTTATACATATATGTATTAAACAGGTTAATTTGAAAAGATTAGGCAAGTTCTTACTTTGACCAAACACTCCAGTTCCCTTTGACTAGAAAAAAAAAGAACAACTATTTTGAGGCAGCAAGGCACTCCCTGAAGAAAATCTACTGAGAATTCTTGAACTAGAATAATGCACAGCTACCGCAGAATTAAATACAGTTGAAATGAGAATTATAAATGGAAGAACTCCAAATTTTCATTTACTTACCTGCTGGTTTACGGGAAAATTCCTGTTGATTTTTTTAATCTATAAAATGAAAAAAACATAAATTAATACTCAGTCATTATAAGAAAAAAAAAACCTAAACCATTGGATTTTAGACACATATATCAGACACTCCTTTCCAAATTATGTATTTAAAAAAAAAAAAAAAAAAGAACGAAAATTAAATCTCCTGCAGTAAAGGGACTGCAATTTTGACAAGCTCACGTGAATAATGGGACGCATTGTAGTATAAGATCCCTGTTAAATCTTACCGTTATACCTTTTTCATGACTGATTTTTGGAACATCTTTTGTTGGTCTTACACCTCTGCGACAGTATTTTACTATATACAGCTTACTGCCATCTACCAAAGTCATGAAGCTTTAAGCAAATTCCTTTCCTTAAAGAATGATGGAAAATTGGGCTGGAATAGCCTTTGAAACATCCCTTACTCTACCCTTTTATCCTAGGAGCAAAATCAAGTGTGCAAATTCATTTTTGATAATTGTTCAAGTAATTTTTTCTGAAAACATTCAACAATACCCCTAGGTAAAAAGTACAGAGAAAACCAGTCTGAGACCCCTGAGTAGTTTGTTTTTAGCCCTGCAGATCATTGATTCCATCTAAATAAACGTTGCCAGCTTTCTGACACAGAAGTGTCCAATACAAGGAGAATTGTGTAGAACATGCCCGTTCCCACCATTAGTAGAATAAAATTATCCTTTTTTATTTTACGCAGAAGCCCTGAAAGCTTTTGAGCAAACCTAGTAAATCTACCATGTGCATTCATGACAGATACTTAATACCTACAATTTATTTTTCACCCTCTTATGTTAACTTTTCATAATTGTTTTTGTTGCTATGGTTAAATGAGTAAACCACATCTTTGAATTAAAGACACTGACAACTAGGAATCTATTGTATAGCCCTGAAAGCCCCAAAACCACCATGTAACATTTACACTGTTTCAACCAAAGGTATGATATGTTTTGGAAGAAAAGAAGAAGAATTTTCTCCAGTGTTTACAATATCAACTCTAAACAACTATATGCAGAGATGTGAGTGGCACTGTGTTTTGCAGACTTTACAAACCGACTGTTTGCTGCAGTGGTAACCTCTTTGCATTCTTCATGCAAATACTGAGCAAGTCTGTAAGTCCGTCGCTGACATCCCACAGTTTTGCTATCAAAGGATAATTCTCACTGTCAAAAAACATGCTGGGAAGCAATTTCAGTTGGCTTTCAAATGTATCCTGAATCAAAAGTGTCAGTAGAACATTTCCACCCTCCCTTCTTGGCATGTACATCAGCTTCGGTTTCCTCCTTTCTTCAGTGTAAGTTAAGGGGAAGCATTAAAGGACCCAGGATATTTGGTGGACAAAGTATTAAAATTAAATGAATCCACACTCTATAAGACACTAACTATCTCACACAATTTCTTAAAGGAAAAGGTGCAAGAAAACCACAGGTTTTTGACAGAAAAACAGACATTTCAAGACTTCTGTGACTTATTCCTAAATCTGACATGAAATAGTCCAGCATGATAAATCCCCATTTGTGTTAGGAGGTGCTATTAAAATCCTTGTCAAAACTGTGTATTTGCTTCTACTTTAAGCAAAGACTACAGCCAATACTGTGAAAAATTTAAGTTATGAAAGAACATTGTCAAGAAAAAGAAATTTTACTATTCTAAGCAAAATACTAAAAATATTTCCTTAAGTGCAAGTTACATATTAAATACTTTGATAGTATTTTTGTTTACTTCTTATATAGAGATTAATTCTTTTAACAGAAATAAAGTCCACTGGGAGACTTGTGTGCTTTTAAATATTCCTGGGAAATGTAAATGCACCACCCAAACACCATTTTCTCATTCACAAATTTCCAGCTCATTTTTTAAAGTACAATCTAAGCCCTTACTTTGCATAGTTGTTGTAACTGTTGTTACTTTGATGAATTAAAACAATCATGTTTATCTTTCAGGTAATATGGTGACAATTTTTTGAAATGCATTATTTTTAATTAGGCTATAGCTTGCAAACTGCATTACAGGTAATCAGTTATACCTGGAACTAAAAAATGTTCAGTGTGATTAGTTTTTGGAACACCCTAAATGTTTATCATTCACAGGCATAAATATTGGATGTTACACAAAACCCAAAAAAGTTCTACAATTAGCCAGAAGAAGTCACTGATCTTTAAGATTATGAAATACACTCCCTTGAGAATATGGAAAAAACCCACCACGTTAGCCAACATTGTTCTTCCCAGCATGTTACAAAATACAGTGAGTAAAATTTAATCTACAGATGACCCAGATCCACCAATCCTTAACTATCAAAATCTAAATGTACACATTTTTCACAAATGAAAAGAGCAAATAATATCTTCTGTTACTGGATAGATTATCTAAAAGAGAAACATTCCTTCAATCTTCCATAATGTTACTGAACTCATTGCAACACCATTATTTGTTAAGCACAACAACAGCATATAATACCATGTAACTGATACAAATGAGTAACATTTGTTTTCATCAGAGGACAGCAGGATGATACACTGCAAACATATATGCACATAACATTTTTAAATAAAACACCCTTGCAGATACTACTCTAAGAAAGGCAGGTGCTCTGAGAACATTCTTTAGAAAGATGTGTTTATCCAGAGCAATAAAAAGTCAGAGTGGAACAAAAGAAGACAAAAGAAGCAGCTAGTTCTGAAGGGAAAGATACAGGAAGCATTATGAAAGCTGAATTGAAGCTAGCAAGAAGTACCTGCTTCTACTTCATGTTCAGAAAAACAGGTGCTGAGGGGTGAAATTCTATCCTGGTTCAAAATCCATGAATGCAGATTATGAAAACAAAATTTCTAAGAACACCACAGAGAAAGTAGTTTGGGATTTGACAATGACCTAAATGTGGAAGGAAGAAGAAGAGGTCAAAAATAAGGTCTCTGCAGTATGCTGCTTCTAACGAGTAAGCAGGCAAGTGATGTTGATAAGAGACCAGTAAAGGAAGAATAGATTTTAGTGGAAGCTATCATAGAAGAATGGTTTGAAGCAAAATTGATTCTAATAAGGGTACAAACATATAAAACTAGATATGTTCAAAACATTCAGCTGGCAAAATATGTTAGGACACCATAGCCATGAAGAATACTGGACAGGGAGATGCTATGAAGTGAGACATAGAGAAGAATGCACTATGGCCAAATTCAGTTAATTTGGTGCACTAGATGTTGCCACCACAAAAAGTTTTCATTGTGATGGCTGTGCCTCTTCTGTAGAAGAAACAAATAGCATGGAACACATCACTCCTCAGCATGGTAAGCAGATGACCAGGCTTTGGTTTCAGGTGTGCACGATTGCAACTTTTGGTTGCTTTTTTTTTCTTAATTTATTTTAATTTAATTTAATTTTATTAAACTGTCTTCATGCCAGAGAAGCAGTAATCCGAAAGATACCCATCCATACTATTATCTTCTTGTGTGAATTGTACCCTATTTTTGTTGCCCTCTGCTGGAATGCAGCTGATTAAGCTTGCAAAAACCCGGGTTTTAAACTTTCACATTCAGTTGAAACTGAACTGAATTGTTCATTCATCTGAGAGCTACTATTTCAGACCTTCTTTGAGCAAATAGCACTACAAGATGATTTTAAAGTGTAATCTCAAACCCACTATTTATTAGGGGTTTGTTTGACCTTTTTTTACCTATTTATTTTAATGAAATTTGCTATTCCAATGTAATCACGGGATCCTCATGAGATGATGAGGAAATGTGCCTTTCAATGAGCCCATACCACCCTAAGGACTCTTATGGGCAGTATGATCTACAGATAAGGGTACTGATTCGAGGTTTTTCCAATTCTTAAAAATTTAAATAGAAGCAATGATATGTTTGAAAACTCTATGTGTCTCATGCTTGCTTTAATCCTATTTCCTGAAAAACTGTATTATAAATGAGAAACTCACAGTTCTAACGTTATACTGGGAAAGATGATTAACGACAATGTGAATCTTGGGCATCACAACTGGTCGTCTGCAAGAAGCAATAATACAGTAGGTGTTAATTGTCAGGACAGAGTACTTGACAGAGACCACTCCCTGGGACCATCTACAGAACCCCCAAGACTGAGGGGCAACCTTTGGAATGCGTGGGCACCAGCTCCTGCTCAGTATTTTGTTGACTTAGACAGTAGATCAGATTCTCCCACACTTTCACGTATGATTTGATCTATCATTTTCTTGAAACCTGTAGCTGTCATGTAGCTTTGCAGGTCTCCTTCCTTATCAGAAATTTTCCAATTAAAAAAGAACCCTTTATTATTATTTTAATTTATGCCGGCCATATATATCTGGATTTCCCAAAACAATTTAGACTCCGTATGCTGATTTGCATTCATTAACAGATAATTAAAATATAATAGCTTGACAAGAATGTAAATTCATTAAATAGTTCTTAACTTTATCTCATGCATTAAAGCCACAACACAGTTCATGCCATTGGGATGTTAACTGATTGCGACAGGTAGCAAGATCACTACAATTTGGAACACATTGCAAGAAAACATGAATCCGTGCTGTGATAAACTTATGTTAATGAATGAGAAAGAAAGAGTAAATAGCATTTGGAATTATTAGTTGGTTAGTCTTATTTTCTGTCCTTGCTTTTTTTTTTGCTCAATGCCACAGGTAAGATGTGGTAAGACTGTGAAATTTTGTTACTCAAGATTATACGTGCATTGAAAAAAATCAGGGAATCAGAGAAAATTTAGAAGAAGCATGCAACAGTTCACAGAAAATACATCATACGTTGGTAGATTCATTCAAATATATGTTTAACTGCCTATAGACTGAATGTAGGAATTCTCGATGCTGATTTTACAAGCTGTCGTAGATTTTAGAGTTTAGGCTGAAAGTCCATATAAACTTACGATATGCAAAGTGACCTGTCAACATGTTCTGGAAAATATGGGAGCATAGGAACTATCTCATGCAACATTTATGTCTGCTTCCTGATCTACCAGGGATGATGCCATTC